ATAAAATTATATATAATACTATAGCACTATAGTGCTATAGCACTATAATGCTATAGCACTATAAAATAAATCCCTTTATTTAATATACAAAATTAATTTACTTAATAAAATTTTAAGAAAATCAAAGATATTTATAAATAGCTAAAATTTAAAAAGTTATAGTTCTAAAGACTATTTTTTTAAAATTTTATTAAGATAATCACTAATTTAGTTTTATAAAACTAGAGCTATTTTGATTAAAAGACTATTTTTTATTTAATATACAAAATTGATTTACTTAATAAAATTTTAAGAAAATTAAAGATTTTTATAAATAGCCAAAACTTTAATTTGATTTAAAAATTTAAAATCAAATAATAAATCAAATTCAAATCTAGCTTTTTAAATCAATTCAAATTCAAATTCTGATTTTTAAATTAAATAAAATTCAAATAAGTCTAATATTTGATTTGATTTAATTTTGAAAAACCCTACTAGCTAGTTATATTCTTATTAATATTTGTTTTGTATTGCTGGTTTATAAATTCTACTTCTATAATAAAATCTAATATATTCTTTGAAGTAAGTTCTAGTTTAATGTTTTTCTTCTAATATTTATCTATCTGTCTAATTATATTAGAGAATATGATAATTTGAACTTTTTAGTACTTTTCTTTCTATTTTATGCTATATTGTATATTTTCTTTTTTAGCAGATTGTATCTTGTTGCTGCAAGTATTGTTTTGCTTATATTATCTCAAAGATCATCTAATTCTGAAAATTTCTCTTTTTGCTATCAAGTTTTCTTTAAAAAGCTTGTTATGCTTATGCTTTTTCTAAACAAGCTATCTATTTATTTTCTGTAATCTTTTCAATTTTATTCTATTACTTTATCGCAAAGAAAGACTATTCATGTTTGTTTATTTCTTTTGCATAATATATATGTAATAATGGGAGTATATAAGTCATATATTAGTAATAAAAACTAGAGGCATAACCTCACCTTAAAATTAAAAAAAAAATTAAATAATTTTGCATAATATTAGAAACTGAGAAAATCATTATTATTTCTACTATTTTATTATTTTAACTGTTTTTACTATTTTTAGCTTTTTATCAGTTTTACTATTTCTACTTTTTCTACTATTTTTACCATTTTTATTATTTCTACTATTTTACTATTTCTTATTATTTCTATAGATTTTATTAATTTAGAAAAAAATAGATAAACTCTGGCTTTCTCTTTTCCTGCTAGATAAATTCAGATATCTTCTCAAGATATAAATACTCTTTAGTTATAAGAATATTCTCTCTTGTCTTATATTGTAAATAAAATATATCTTTTTTTAAATATATACTTTCTACAAACTGCCTTTAGTAAAATTATATTCTATTTCTATATTGCTATATTATTATAACAGATTATTATAGCTATATACTGTATTACTTGTGCTGTATTTAAAGGTTATAGCCCACTTGTAATAATATTTTTTATTTTTTTTATTACTTTTTTTTTTTTTTTTATTAACAGATAAACAAAACTTTTTATACTATATTTTCATACTAAAGAAAACTTACTCAATTTTATAGTGCAAGTATAATACTACTTAGAAATAATTTTCTTCATATTAGAATTTTAGCTTTTTAAAAATATGATATCTCTAATTATTAGCTAGAACAGCTATATATTTTGTTAAGAACCAAATCAAAGAAAGCACAATAATAAAAAAAAAAAAAAAATACAAAGATATAAGAAGATATAATAAAATATATAAGCAAGAAAAAAGAAAAAAAGAATAAAGAAATATTAAAAAAGAAAAAATATTTGTCTATCCTAATATTATATTTATAAACCTATGAAAAGCTTGTTAAAATTATATACTATTAAACAAACTATTCTTTATTCTAAATTTATTTAAATAATATATGAAAGTTAAAAACTAGTAAAAAAAATTTTATCAACTAGAACTATATAGAAAAATTAGTACTTGATTCAAATCTTAGAGTATTATTTTATTAAATTGTTATATTTAAGATATATGCTTTAATATATTTGTTGTTCTGTTATATCAATTTAGAAAGTAAACAATATTAACTGTTTTAATATACAAGATATCAATCTTTTGAAAAAGATAAACTAAAATGTCTATTTTTTATAAAAATTTTTTAAAAAAAATAGTAAACTAACAAAAATATATAAAATTCTTTTTATAAGTTTTACAATTATATAGTTTGGTTCTTCAATTTCTACTAAATATTCTTGTTAAAGACCTACAGTGATATTGTTTCTAAAATATTCTTTTGGTTTAAATATTAAAAATATAGAAAAGTCTACTTCTTTTCTTTTATTATTCTCAAAAATTTCTCTGATTTGAATACTAAATATACAAAGAAATTCTCTTAAATATTAGAGAAAATCTTAACCTTTATACAAACTGTTTATAATGTCTATATCTTAATATTGTATATTATATTAAAAATTTTATTAATAACAGTTTGTAAAAAAAAGCTTGATTTGAAATACCAATCTGTTTTTTTTATACATCTGTTTTTTAATATTTTATATATAAACTTTGTTAATAATAAGTTAACTTGTATAATACAAGAATATTTTTGTATTTATTTGTTTTTTTTTATGTTATTTACTGTGGTTTGTTTTTTTTTATTGTTAATTAAAGAATTATTAAAAAAAGTTGTTGTTTCTTGTTTGTTTCTTTTATTATATCTTATACTTTTCTTTATATTTTATTTTTATACTTATTTTTTTTATATTTTTTGTATTTTGCATCTTGACAAGTTAATAAACACCAACCAAGAATCAAGAAAAAAAACTTTAAATTAAAAACCTAAAAAAAACCAAAAACTACTAAAGCAGATTATATTTGACAAATTACAAATTTATATCTATATAATATATTATAGATAAAGTTTTTGCTTTAGTTAAATTTGTAATAGCAATAAATAAAATTTTGTTAAATTTGTTAAATGATTAAAAATTCTAAATAAAACAAAGCAGGATTGCCAAATTACAAAAAAAAAATAGTAATAAAAGATTAATATTGATAAAATTAATATTAATAAAGATTAACTATAACTAATCTTACCTCTTATATATAATCAAGCTAACAATAATTTAATTTTTAAATATAACAAGTAATACTATAAATAATCTTTAAAATCTTTAAATAAATAATTAAAATTATACAATATATAATCTTTAAAATCTTTAAATAAATAATTAAAATTATACAATATATACAGTATAACTAATATATATATTAAATAAATATATATACTATATAAATTAACCAAGCCCCAAAAACTTTTAACAAAAAAAATAATTTTAAAATTCGACTTTTCGATTTATTTTTTTTTTTAATTTATATTATACAGTATAAAATATTAAATAAAAAAAAATAATAATATATAGTAATAAATGAATTACAGTATAATAAGCAGAAATTATGTTCAGATCTAGCTATTAACAGCCATGAATTCTTATTCACTTATAGATTATTGTTGTGAAAGCACTTGACCTTTCTTTTCATTTACCGCTTGTTCCACTATTTTAGCTTCTTCTTGAGCATGTTGTTTAATTTTTTTTTCTTCTTTGAGACGTTCTTCTCGAGCCTTTTCTTCGGCTTTACGAGCTTCATCGACTGAAGAATGAATTTCTTCGGGAGCAGTCTTTGAAGATATAAAAAAAAAAAAATTAAATACTGTAATTGTCAAAAATCTTTGAAATATTCATTAAACATTAATCAATATATTAGTACCGTATCGTCAAGATCCATGTTTTATTTTTTTTAATGAGAAGTTAGGTTTGAATTATTTGGAAATGCGTAAACTTGAAGTACTTAGAAATGTAAAAGTATTTTGTTTTGAGAAAATAAAAGCCCGAAGTAGACACTTTTTATAAAAAAAAAAAAGAAGAAAATTATAAATAATCACCAGTTTAGAAATGGCATGGTTTTAACAATTACGACATTACAAACGGTTGTTAATGATCTCATGATTACGGAATACTTATTAATAATAATAATTATTATTCGTTAATAATAACGAATAATAACGATAATTACGATAATAGTTTAATAAATCATTTTAAAATCATTTAACGGGTGCTTATATCATGTGATAGGATAGTTTTTCTAACGCGTATTTAAAGTTTGTTACGATATATGCTATCGCTACGTATGAAAAGATGATGTCAGAACCTAACCGATTATAGATATTCGGTTACGCGAAACTGCGGAAGGATGACTATAAAGGATTTTATTGATTCTTAAATTTTTTTTTCACGTCTGTAAAATGCACAAGGTTGAGTTATAAAAATACAAGAACTAAGGGAAATAATACTTTACTTTCAATAGAACCAGTTTAACCAACAAGCTGGCACCACTAGTTTCTTCAACCCTGGCGCCGTCACCTATTTTCACTTTAGCAGCAACTGCCGCACTCCCTTCAATTTCCACAACAATCTCCTCGTCATCTACCCGGTGGGTACGAAGACTACATAGACAAAGGAATTATAGAGAGCGAAATTTGATATTTAATCGAATGGTACAAGCTGGAGTGAATATTAACGATAATAGTGGTAGTCAAGATTCTAACGATAACGTTTCTTCGACAACCTCTACAACAACTCAAAGAAACACGTCTTCCACAACGAATTCACAATTGCAAGACGATGATCAAAATATACGTTCCCGTAGCAAAGCAGTTTGTAAATTAAATTGTACTTATTGTGAGTCAAGAGTATGCTTGAGGGGGATGAAGGTAAGCGATTGTGTGAATAGCAGTTGAATGTTGAATACGGTCAGTGAGTATGAGGGGCAGTAGTAAATTAAAGATAGAAAGGGTGGATAATTTACAGAGCATATTTTGGATATTTGGGTGATAAAGATCTGACAATTATTTAGGCTATGCTTCTTGCTGATACAAGGGTCGAGCTTTATTCTACAGATGTACCGCCATTATCGTATGTATGCGTTAAATTCAATTAATTGATTGTTAAATCAAAATATCTAATCTTTTTTTTTGAATAGGGTGCAATTGGTTGGCGAAGATTATTTAACACAAAATTGTCATTGTAAAATTCGTGATGTGGCATGCCTGACTTGGTAGTTATTATTTATTAAGATATTTATTAAAAGATATTTATTAAGATTTTCGAAATAAATTTTAATAATAATAATAATAATAATAATAATAATAATAATGATAATAATAATGATGATTTTATTTATAGTGGAAATGTTCTTGGATATCATATCACTCAACCATGTCAACAATGCATGGACGCCTGTAATAATGGACACCTCTGGATGTTTCATACGGAGGAAGTCACCAGCGAAGAACGACTGGACTTTAATGGTACGCAATACGATTTATGTATACATATTAGATATTAAAAAGATTTAGAATATTTAGAATATTTTAGAATAATTTAGAATATTTAATGAATATAATAATTTTTGATGGATACATTTTTAGGAAATACAGTATTATTATGGACACATCTGTCACAAGCAGAAGGTGTTGAGAATATGAATGCGGGGGAAGATGAATACGAAAATTGTTGCCGATAAAAAAATTAAGTAGACAATAAATAAAAATTAATATGAAATTAATATGAAAATTAATATGAAAATTATTAATAATGATTGGATATATTTTTACTCTATTAAAATCAGCTTAAAGCATTTTCCTTTAACGATATACAGTAGATATACAGTATTAGCTAACAAACATACGGCTAATATGTATTTAGATCATAAACATTTCTGGTTTGAATGTAGTAAATTTATATGAAATGATTTCATTCGACTGGTCGGATGAAAAATTGATCGACGAAATGGTGTAACAGTTGTTATAACATATACACACTCATATAGGGGAGTTCCCAAAATTCCGAGTCGGAAGGCATCGGAATCATGATCGGCAGGGCCAAAGACCACTAATAATTTTATCAATGAAATCATAGCCCAGCTGATAATTTTGTACTAACCCGTATTGTTAAATGCCGGTCTACGTAGCAGTATAAGTAACAGCTTTCGTAAAATTGTATGGGATCATTGAATAATTTAAATTTCTAGAATATCGATATATAGTTATTAATTTTAAGATAGGTTCTAGCTTACACGTGTACCTCGTTTTTTTTTTTTTTTATGCATGCATATTAACTAGGGATTCACTGCTTTTGCATCGCATAAGTTTTTAAAAAAAAAAAAATTCTTATACGTACAGTATAAATATAATACATATTGTTAAAAACCAAATTCCAGTGCTAGTTTTTTCAAGAAATTAATTACTTGATGCGCATGTCAGTTATTGTTAATACTGTAATACATGGTTTGTATGGACAATGTCATCACAAGGTTGTACAACTAAAAAACATATATTTAAATGTCATATGAATTATTTATCGCATGGTCCCACAAAGCTGATTAATAATACAACTTGCCGATTCACATGGTGATAAATAACTTAGTGTGACGTTTAGATTGTGAGACGTTTAGATTGTGAGATGATGAGATGAGAGATCTACATTAAATTTGATCCGACAGAATCATGGGAAAGTTCCACGCAGGTTGGCCTGTGTGTCACGAGGAAAAGTTAAAAAGTGGGTGTAAGTATTTGTTACCCGACTTTTACTCGTGACGTCTCCACGTACTGAAAAAAGAAAGAGAAAAAGGTATCGTTATTTGTTTTTGCTTATATAGTTAAAAGTTAAAATGCGCCACATTTCCCCAAAGCTACGACAAATTGACCATACGTAGTAATAGCCCTGGGCAGAATTGAAATGATCGATTTTAATTTTAAGATTTTGACAAATCAACCAAATTCGTACCTTTTGATCTGATTAAATATTTACTTTGACCTGATAGAGTTTTTTTTTTCTTTTATGATTCGTGACAGAAATACGTTGTCACACCTGGTTTCGTGATACAAGGAGAGAATCGTCTAAAAATATCTTTTATTAAATGTATGATAACTGAAAAAAAGAAGATATAATAATCTCGTGTATCTAAAACTTGGCATTTCTCTAACAACAAACAGTGTTTAAGGTTTTTTTTTTATTTTACAGAGCACGGACTTAACAAAAATAGATATATTTAAAAGTCAGTTTGGATGGGGTAATATATTGTACTTGGTTTGATATGTAAAAAAAAAAAAAAAAAATTTTTTTTTTTTTAAAAAAAAATCGGTTATTTGTTTGACAAAATTATTAAGTTTATGTAACAAAAAAAAAAGATTAAATAATCAAGTAGGTCATTCCATAAGTAACAAAGTTTTACAAAATTTACTGTGCAAAATTTT